CCCATATTAGTTAACTCTCTTACTGCTTACTAGACCACCACGACTCCCTGTTGCCAATAGACTTCATTTAAACAAATTGTTGTATTAACAGGTTTACCAGAAGGCTATGAAAGTCGTGAGTGGAAACCACCTGCTGAAGCTCCGTGTATTATTAAACTTCTCTGCGATAAACATGATGAACTCGGTCTAGAAGCGAAAACTATCAAAGAACATTGGTGGAAACCCCACATTAAACGACTGTTCGAAAGAAAGGTTTGTATAAAATATAGAATGCTTCGAGTCTCATGATGATTTTAGTTTTACCTGACAAAATAGAGTGATGCGAGAAGGTTGCAAAAAAAAAAATCCAGGCACTTAGAAAACAATGATTGCAAAAAAAGATAGATTGATTCAAGCAGCAGGCCCAATGATGATGATTTAAGTAGTATCCGACAAACTGTCAGGCCTTATTGAACTAGTGTCAAATTGCAACGGCAAAGGGATCTTTTATGTGCATCCCCATATATACACAGGAACTTAGTTTTTTTGTCCCATCTGTCCTGCACCACTGACAGGGCGAAACCACGTCAGAAAATCACAATGAACTTTCTCAAAGACCACAACGGGATCAAGGTCTGACAAAATGACAGACACCAGAGCAATTGTGCCTGATAAAAACCTGAATTTGTACCTGGCAATGTCCAGAGGGTTTGGATTGTTAACGCTTGCACGTATCATAAGGTTTGTCATTCAGTCAACTGGCTTGGTTTCGATTTCCCGGTTGTACGTGACAAGGAGTACGATCGCTTGTCCAACCTCATGGGTTTTCTCCGGTTTCCTCTCATCGCTAAAGACCCCCACGCATAAGCTAATTATTAAAATACCGTTGAACCATGTGTTAGTCCCTAAATGATCTAGTTTGTGTCAAGTGGACTTAACCCCCTCTCTCTCTCTCTCTCTCTCTCTCTCTCTCTGTTTTTTCCAGACCCATCCAGAACATTACAAATCAAATCTAGAAATTTGTGGGAATATCTGAATCTTGTAAACATTCTAGAAGATAACTACTAAATGTGTGTTAGATTTTACAAAAAAAAATGATTGGTACAAATCAGTAAAAGATCAGTTGGCAATGCGTTAAACCACTCAATTCACACGGCCAGGTTCCTAAACATTAGAAATGAAATGGGGTTTAACGTCCTACTGTTCTGCTTCGAATCCTAAACATGAGAGAAAGTAGCACTACCTAATCCTATTAATTCAATCTCCTGTTTTTAATTACAGAGCTTGAAAGGAAAAATAGATACACTGTCTGCTGTGTTGGAAGTGGGGAATTTTGAATTTAACAGGTAAATTTATTACAGTAATTATTTTGTGATGATTCTGTTTCATTTTATCATATTTGATGTCAAAACGTGTAGAAATTGGTATGGCGATATTTGTTTTAGGCATGTCGCCTAGCTATAATTTATGATACGAAAATTTGGTTGAGAGCTGATTGTGGGTTCCCCTTTAATATTGAGGTTCCTGGCCGCAGCCTAGTACCCCCCCGCCCCCATCTAACCCAGCTTGAACGCTTAATTCTATCTTTGCAAAATTCCTACAACACTGTTTTTGCCATGGGATTTTATAACCAATTATCGACACGCATGTATGTAATGTTAGGATGCAGGTTATTGTTTTACTCATGTTCCTGAAGCTACGACCGTGTTTCTAGACTGGTCTGCAATTCCCAAACCTATAGCTATGTTATCTCCCTTTTACCCAGACGATAGTCTAATCAGGGGTTGTGACACGAACGCAGATCAAACATGACCTCCACGGAAACCTTGCCATTGAACGAACCTTGAACTTTGCAACTCGATTAACACAAGTAGACATTTTAGCTGGAAAGTGCGAGACTTGGTATTTGTGATGGTCAAGGAATCTGATAGGCTCCCCAGCTGGCTCAGTATCCAAGCCTTTTTTTGAAGTTTGGTTTTATCATCAATACAAACTGGGAGTCTAACAAGAAAATAGTTAACTATTGAACAAAAAAACGCTTGGGTGGGAAAGGAGCTCTAACGAAATTAACTGGTGATTTTAAGCGTTTGTTGAAAATCATTTCTATGTTTGTTGTTTCAGTAAATCTGTAAATAATGCGTACGAGGAGTATGTATTGAGTGTGGGTGATTTTGATGAGAGAATATTTCTAGGAGACGATGCGGAAGAAGAAATTGGTACACCAGGAAAACCTGGAACCACTCTAGCTGAACAAATGCAGGTTAAACGAACCTTAAAACAACATGTTGATGAGGTGATTTATAATACACTTTCATAAACTATTTTATCTCGCATGGTGGTCATTTTCATAAACTATTTTATGCCGTGGCTGTCACTTTCGTAAACTATTTTATGTCATGGCGGTCAATTTCATAAACTATTTTATCTCTCTGGCAGTCATTTCAATAAACTATTTTATGCCGTGGCTGTCATTTTCATAAACTAATTAGCTGCCATGGTTTCATAAACTATTTTATCTCTCATGGCAGTCACTTTTATAAACTATGTTATGTCAAAGCTGCCACTCTCATAAACTATTTCATGTTGGCCGCTTCCATAAACTAATTTAAAAGCCATGGTTTAATAAACTAATTGATTGATCATGTTTTCATAAACTAATTTATCTGTTGTGCTTTGGTTATTTCTATTTGTAAAAGAAAATTTATTTTCTCAGATAAAAAGTATTGTCGGGTGTTCATAGAAGCATGTCCTGCCTTATTCATGATACTCATCACTACTTTTATATTATTGGTGCAGAAATTTTGATTTGGAATTTCAGATCAGATCATGGATTAGATTATAATTTAATAAATATGTATGTTTATTTTTTTTTAGACGAAGACATTGGCACCATCCACCCCCCTGACAGGTCGCCGTTATCTAAAAGAAAAGGACCTGAGTATTACACCCGTTTCCACAGCAACACAGAGTGTAGGACGACTACAAGCGTTATTATCAGGTCGTAAAACATGTCCGAGTGATAAACTTCTGGAATATTTTAGGTACTGTTTTCTTTTATTAACCAAATTCAAGTCGAATCAGAACAATTGGACGTTTAACCCCATTTCATTTTGTTAACCCATTACCAAGTACGTACAAGCAGGGAATCAAAACCATGCCACTTGACTCAATGATAGACCTTATGATCAAACATACATACATTAAACCACTAGATAACACAACCCTCCATGTAATAATAATCACTCATATAATTTAATGATCGGAATTGTTATTACTAAAAGACCTAGTTCACAAATCAGATTAACAGTGATAGCAAGTAGGCCGATGATCACATCAATAAATTTCAACTTGTTTGTCATATATTTATCCTGGGGTGGGGGTTGGATGGTTAGCGTGTGGACGCTGTATCATAAGGTCTGTCATTGAGTTAACTGGCGTGGTTTCGATTCCCCGGTGTACGTGACAGGGCATAAGGTCACCTGTCCAACCTTGTTGGTTTTCTCCAGGTCCTCCGTTTTCCTCCCACTGCTAAAGACCCCTGCACGCAAGCAAATTATTGAAATAAAATATGTTAGTCCCGAAATGACCTAATTTGTGTCGAGCGGACCTTTAACTCTCTGTCTCTCTCTCTACCCTGCAATCAATGAACTGTTGTATGTTTTCCCTCCTCACATTTAAGTAGATAAATGTTATGGTTAGTTAGTACTTTGGGTTGGACAAAAAAAAAACGAGATCCCATGTACACATTGGCGAGCACGTAAAAAACCCATTGACAGTTGTAATTTTAAAAAAGAATAGGCCGTAGTGCCGCTGTCCGGACAAAATTGTCTCAGAGCACACTACATGGTGTCGGCCCATCCTCATTAGGCCCTGTCGTCATTAGCCAAGTCGATGCCTAAATGTAGGACATTAAAACCCATTTCATTTCTCTCCTGACATGAAATAGATTTGTATTACATTTGATGAATTGTGTGTTTTTCAGTGAATGTAGCAGGAATCCTAAAGATGGAATCATCGCCAGGGTTAAAGAAATGGGTGAGACTTTCTGTACCCATTATTGTCAGGTAAGAGATTTTTTTTCCACAACAACCAATCAGTTAAGTTAATCTTTAGGTGGTATTGAGAAACACTTTAAACAGAACACAATTTTTATGGGAAATCATTTACTGGTTTTATTTGAAAAGTACAATGATAACGATAAGAGGATACTTTTTGAACCGTCATGCTTTTCTTATAAAACCAGTGATTGATTTCCCATAAAAATTGTGTTATGTTTAATGTAACATTTTTTTTGTTAGCTTCACGTCGCTGGCATAGTGACAGGGCTTGTTGTCTAACAACTTCGCTTTAGATCCAAATCTTGTTTGTGACAAAGGAATAGGGTTGAATGCCCAATATGGTGTTTTATTTCTGCATGCCAAGCACTGGCATCGAATTTCGGCTATCACTGAGCCATCACTGCTTCCAATTTAGAATGTTAAAGTAATATATTGAATTTAAAATGTTGTGGACTGGCAAAAGAAACAAGTTTGAATCTGATGTGGTCCCCTTCAGTGTTCATCAAGAAATGATCTTGTTAGTATCAACATATTAAAACTAAACAGAAGTGGACTTGGCCTTGTTCTGTCCATCGCCATGATTGGAAAGGAAAAAAAAGGTGACATATATTTGTTTCAAAATAAATCAAATTCATCTTCGCATCCACTGAAAGATATAATCTGAGGAGAAAAATGGTGTATGGGTTGGGTGTGGGAAAGGTGAATCAAGATAGTTTCATTTTCTCGTCATGTCACATATACTTCACCACAATGGGAGCCCAAGAAAACCAGTTGGTTCGAGGGCACAGGGCTACCCAGTCCGCCCAGAGACTAAATTCAATAAATTTATTTCAATTGTTTGTTTCAGCCGTCCAATGATCATCCCGGTACCCATATAGATTTTGCTCGTCGTAGATTACAGCTCGGTGAGAGTTTATATTATAAAACTCTAGAGAACATTATTGAAGGAGAGAGAAAGAGACTAGCAGAAAGAGATCTTTCAGTAAGTTCCATACAGTTTCAATAAAGTTAGCCTGCTGTTTAGAAATTGTTATATTTTCATACAACTCACAAAGGTATGTATATTGATCTTATTGAATATGAAATGAAATTTAACGTCCTACTGTTCTGCTCCGACTGGGCTCATGAAAACGAGCATACGCCATACACTGTGTGCTATGAAGGAAATTTTGCCAGGACAGCAGCACTACGACCTACTCCTATATCGAATTCCAATTGCCAAGGGATCTTTTACGTACACACCAATGTGTATGTGAGACCTCAGGTTCTTCTTCCCATCCGAACAACTATGCATCCCTTGCCAGACACTTATTGTCCACCACTGACAAGGGGGAGCCATGCTGAATGTTCTCGGCCAATGCCGGGATCGAACTAGCGACCTCCAGGTTAGTGAGCCAACATCTTACTCACTCAACCACAGTGACTCCCCTTACTAAATAAATAACATTATAAATACAATAGTGATAATAATATAGCGATATAACATGAAGAGTGCTTGATGTTGTAGTTATCATGGTGCACCATTCAGCATGCATGGTTTATCGAATTATACTGTGGTACATGCAGGATGTTTCACTTATCGTAGTGTATAGCAATGGGGTTAAGATTTTGTAACAGTGCCACAGTGGGGTTTAGTAGCTGCCACTGGAATTCAGTGAGAGTAGATGAGAATGTTGAGAGTATATCAGGTAAATCAAGACTACTATATGTTACGATGTATGTTTTCAGGTCTTTCCCATGGATTGTAAATATGTTTGATTTAAGCCCATACCATTTCTATAAAGTCATTGAGATTATCATACGAGCTGAAGAAGGCCTATCACGAGATGTTGTAAAACATTTAAATCATGTAAGTTCTTGTTTATCGTAGTGAAGAAAAAAATGAAATGGGGATTTAACGCCCTAATGTTCCACTCTGACTGATCTAATGATATGAAATGAAATGGGGTTTAAAACCCTGCTATTTTGCTCCGACTGGTCCCATACAGTGTGCTATGAGATAAATTTGGCCTGGACAGCGGCTCTACAGCCTACTCTTATATTGAATTCAAACTGCCAAGGGATCTTTGACATGCACTCCAATGTGTACATGGACGGGACCTTGGTTTTTCGTCCATCTGAACAACTAAACAGCTGTCCTTGTCAGGCCCTCCATCCTGCAACACTGACAAGGGGAAACCACGCCAGGAAATCCCGAACTTTCTCGGCCAACACTGTTATCGTTTATGGACAATTGTGAATTATCAAGTAGATGGTGTTGTTTGCTACTCTTATGCACAATTTGACTTACGAAGACTGGCATTTTCCATACAGTGTGCTATGAGGGACACGACGCAGTGATACTGATGGTAGGGGAGATAAGCAGGGCTGTTTCTGAAGGTACCCGGACAGTGGCACGGCAGCCTACTCTTTCAAATTACAATTGTGCATGTCAATATATACAGGAGATCTTAGTTTATTGTCCCATCCGAACAATTGGACACTGTTCCTTGCTAGATTTTTCGTCCTGCACCATTTACTAGGGGAATGCAGATGTTCAGACATGAATAAATATTTACATATTTATGGAAAATTTTGATATGTTAATTTATTTTTCCGTAGATTGAAGAAACGATTCTCGAATCGCTGGCATGGAGGAGTGAGTCTCCGTTATGGGATGCCATCAGAGAACAAGAATCAGGAGTACCTACTTGTGAAGAAGTAAGTCATAAATACAAACCTGGACATGGGGCATCTGTCACAAACTTTGTCAGACATAAAACCCTCAACATAATAATACATTATTCAAGAACTAAATCAGCCTATCACAGATCTTTCTTTAGGCATTACATGTTATACAAATTATTAATTAGACATTCATTAACTTATCCAGACCATAATCAACTCTCAAAGTACTTGGATAGCTCCGATTTTAAATAGATTAGAATGGTTTGGCCATTTAATGATTTAATTTAAAAATGGAGAAGAGAGCCCAAGCCTTGAATATAGCAGTACCGTGGTTCCGATAATAAACAGTCAATGCACACATCTTGTCAAAACTACAAACAGTGATAACTTTGCTCAGAATAAAGTAATTTGAATGAAATTTTTAATATATTCATGTTGCATTATATATTTTGGTACTAATATAGCGAGAACAACCAGCTCTTTATCTAAATCTTACATAATGCCTCTTTTAGCTTCGTTTTTAGCAACATAGAAGTAAGAAATAGTTTGGAACAACTGTTTCTTATCCTAGTCATTTAATTCCCAGAAACTTTTCGTGATTGTCTACTCTTTGTTGGTAAAAATATAAACCCAGACATATTCTTGACGTGTACTTGATGTACTGTGTATGAATATGTCGACACCGAGAAGATAACCTGAGCGTATGAATATTTTATATTTGAACTATTTTAGGTGACGCCAGCTAATCATGTAGATCTAGGAAACTCGTCCAACAATTCACCTCTTCTACATCCACGTATTAAAACACTTACTGTTGAAGCTGGTAAACAAACATTATCGCCCGTCAGAGTTATCAAAAGTAAGTCATTAACAACATAATTAGGGAAAAATAATTACTGATTCATTTGGGCTAGGATTATACAAGTAATCTCTGTACCGTTTTCAATATGGTTTCCCCCTTTTCCAACAGGCTTGTCCCTTCTATTTAATGCAGGATGGACGGATTGGCAATAAACATTGTTTAGTCGTTCATATGGGACGCGTGTACACATTGGCGTAATCTTAAAAATAACCCATGTCTGGAAAAAAATTGAAAATCATGCAAAACTGACATGGTAATCAAGCTGCAATATCCAGAGGCAAGTATCGAACCCAGTGCCCCAGCGCCTTACTCACTGAGCCATCTGCTATAATTTTACATCAGATGATTAATAAAATCAGGAAACCAAAATCTTTCTAATGAACATTTTGCATGTTTCTTTTTTAGCTTCAGATCCATTATTGTCCCCTACAGGCCCCACGATATCCGATCGTTTCAGCTCTCCACAGCCTGGAACTGCCAGACGACAACTGTTTACGGCTAAATCAGAATCGACCACACAGACTCCTACACAGACAATACTTCAAAAACAACTGGCTGCTGGAGCGTCGGAAACAGTGGTTATCCCTCAACAAGGAGAATCAATGATCGCTGTCATAGTGGACGGACGACAGGTCAGCTTTCATTCATTATATTTAATTCTCTGCTTCTAGTTGGTCAATACCTGGATTTTAGATATGTCGATCATTTATAGTTATTTGAAGTAGATGTTTTCTTGTTACAACTGATAAAGGGCTACTGATAGTATCATCTATTTTAGGTTTAAGGTTGGGGACAACAGCCTCACTGTTAACAAGTGTCAACTATTTAAGATTTGACGCACCGCCACTGTTGACTTGAATGAGTGTCATCTATTTAATTTAGGTTCAAGACTGGAGACTGCAGCCTTTGACTTTTCGGTGTAAGGCCCATCCCACTGTTGACTTTTAGCTCAAGACTGTCAAACGGTATCCAGCACTGATGACTTGTTTTATTTAACGTATAATTAATATTTCAGGTTTTGATACCACTTCAGTCCATTATACAAGCTCGAGTCATGTCCACACCAGAAAAGTCACCAGCTAAACATTTTAAACCAAAGAAAACTGGTTCACTAGCTTTATTCTTCAGAAAGGTAATAAAACAAAATCTCTCTCTCTCTCTTTCTCTCTCTCTCTCTCTCTCTCTCTCTCTCTCTCTCTCTCTCTGACTTTAGACAGACAGGCTAAATGATATCAAAGTCTAGTGTTCTGAAATATTGATCAGGTTGGGCAAATAAATTATGGAAGGTCTGGCAGTGTTTTGGTAATGCTTTGATCTTGTATCCTTATGATGCTGGCATGACAGTGTTCACATTCTGGTTGAGGCTTTAATGCTAGGTTCTCACTATCACGATTCATCGCTGAGTAGTCGTGGTGATCCTATCAGGTCTTGTCATATATTAAAGTCAGTCGTAGCAATTGCGTTGATCATATCGAACCGTATCCGAACGTATCTGCACATACCAGATCATGGTCTCAATAGGGACAATCCTATCGTAACACATCGCACGACAGTGGGAACCTAGCAAAAGCTATGTCAGAAAGGATGGGTTAGATAAAAATTGTTATGGAATATAAAGTTTTGCAATTAGAATTTGCATATTTTTTTTCTGAGGCATATTTTTTCTAAATGGATTGGCCAAGAGTTAATTATATTACAAGAATTATATCATTACATAATTAAACTACAAGGACTTTCTTATAAGGATCGTGCAGGAGTATAAGGTTGAAAGAGATCTTGGTGCAGTAATATGTGTGTGAGGGCTAAGACAGTTACAGAATTAGAATATTTGTGTAAGGACTGATGATAAATATATTAATTTATTTGTGTATATTTGAAGGTAACTGGTAAACCAGTAACTTTCCAGAATATCATGAAGTGCTATCGATATCAACCTCAATCACATAGTCATGTAAGTTATACATTTATCATAGATTGTAGCCCAAAATGGAAATTTCTTGAATTCTGATTGGTCGAAAAGTGGCGTCGAATGAGTATAACAGTCCTCTAAATTTCCTGGGCGACTCACTGCGAATGAATATTTTCTTGGTGCTAGACTCTGTTTGCAGTGGCCAAAAATTCTACACCTCAAAACTTTATTCTTGGAAATCTTCATGAATTTTTTCTTGTATGTCATCAACAATGAAATTCAACCATTGGCTTATTGAAACACTCACCTGAAACACATAAAAAACATAGTTAGTGAGTGTATTTGAAGCATAATAAGTAAATTTAATTTCAAGGCTGGTCTGACAATAACGGTTGCTATGGTCATTCTATCATAATCAGACTGGTCAAAATCGAAGATTTTCAACAAGTGAATAAAAATACTACAATTTATTGAACTCCGTATGGATCGTAATATATTTTTAAAAATATACAAGTCGGGCTGATACTGATATGAATAGGACAGAGACTGATTTTCATACATAGGCCATGTTTTTTTCCGAAGAAAAAGAATCACATTCACAGCGTCGAAATGACAACGTAAACAAGCATAGCAACCACATGCGTACGCTACACAGCATATATCTACACGGTCACACGAGTGTATGGACATTTATCAAACACGATATGCAATTTGTTTCGAACCTAGTCACTGCTGGAGTTCAAAATCATTTAAAAAGTACATAAAATACCCCTACGATTTCTGTTTCGATCTTTAAAATTATCGCAGAGTGACCTCCCTTTCCAAACAGACACAATTAACCAGTCGCTTAGTGAACCAAATAGAATGGAAATGAGTGTTTATCTTATTACGTCAAGGATATTTTCATTACGTCAAAATTGTTTTCCTTGGTATTTACGTCATTAAAACCAAAAAACGACCGTCAACTATCGCGAAAGAAAGAATTCCAAGAAAAATGTTAAATATTTTGTCCATTTGATACCGCTTAAATTTTTCATTACAGGCGCTTGATCGCTACGCGATCTCGGCCTCTAATGATTTAAGCGGTATCAAATGGACAATAACAGTCCTCTAAATTCTAAACAGGAGGTGTTTATCTCCTAATTGATAAACAATCACATTGTCATGTAAGTTAAACATTTATCATAGTCAAGATAAATCATTTCAAGAGGAACTTTGTTTGGCCGAATGGTTTAATGCATGTGCATTGGGTGATAAGGTTTATCATTGAGTCAAGTGGCATGATTTCGATTCCCTGCTTGTACGCGCAAGCAAATTATTAAAATAAAATTGAACCATGCGTTAGTTCTGAAATGAGTTTGTGTCGAGTGGACATTAAACCCCATTTCTCTCTCTCAATCTTGGGTATATGTTGAATTGCTTGACAACCAATATTTAATGTACTATATATTATATCATAGATTTATAGAAATGTGTTATTAAATGTGTTATATTGCCTGGCAACCTATATTTAATACTGTGATATATTTTGTAGTAGTGTGTTATTAAGTGTGTTGTATTGCCTGGCAACCTATATTTATTACTGTGATTTATATTGTAGATTTATAGAAGTGTGTTATTAAGTGGACGAAGACGTCATACGTCTGGATCCAGTGAAGGAAGTAAAAGTGCTGCAAGTGGGACGTCCTCGCCCGTTAATACAGAAAAAGAGGATAAAAGTAAGAAAAATTTCTGACATTTCACTATAGTTGGACAGCGCAATGTGAGGGCCTCCACCAATCTAGCTCCAGATTTACTTGTATCCCCGTGGTTGTACGTGTGCCATGTCGTCATCAGATTCCAGTCACAGACTTTGTCGGTCGCACTGCGCCGCCCTGTACGTCTCGATGACGAGTGATCTTATGTGCACTTTAGATCATAAGGTCTGTAAATAGTTATGTCCACACTTGTCTGTGACAAAACCTGTAGTTGAAGTTGTTTCAATGGGATGTGCACGGTAAAGAACCCACGCACAACAGTTTGAATTGGATATAAGTAGACAGTATCACATCTCTTGGCAAGATTTCACTGATACTCGTAGCTCATTGTATAGGGTATACCTGTGTTCATTAGCCTAGTTTGTGGAGACAAGTAGGATGTTAAACCCCATTTCATTTCATTTATTATATACACATGTATTTCAGAGAGAGATGTTGGTAATATTAGATCTTCAAGTACCCTTCCAATCCCTCAACCTAACAGTCAGCCCCCAACTCCAACTAAATTAATTGGGGCTGCTGCTACGTTTGATTTTGGTGAAGAACGAGGAGATCTTATACAATTTTATAATATGGTAAGAAACTAGAAATAGATGTGTGAAGGCCTTGGACCGTCGGATGTGGTCTGAGGGATCAGTTATCAACCCCAAAAGAAATTGACATATATACAGGGCTGCTGACAACCAGTATCTCAGCGCAATTTGCGATACATATTTTGTCCGTTGCTAATCAAACATTAAAATCTAACATTTTTGATTTGCAGTAAATGCGAATCATTAATATGCCTGTCATTTTGGATATTGACACAAAGATTTATCCACATTTCTCAACACTTGCAACGTGTATAAAATATCAAATAAATTTTAGAACAAAACGGAATTCTCCGTGTGACATTTTCTTCTCGAACTACCCAGACTCAATTCATTATACTATATAATACAGGGACATAACTCTATGAATCAGGACTATTAAACCGGAAATATGGAATCAAGTAGTACCACTCACGTTGCGAGACATGTCAATTTCGAGTAATTATATCAGTATTCAATATGAAAAAAAATAAATTCAGTGTATCCTCCAGGTATTGTAAATAAAATATAAAAAATAAATATGTGTAAACGTATTGTAAAATAAGAAATCAAAGTAAGAAATCCCGTAAACTATTATTGTTTATATCGCGTGCGTCTAGTTAATCGAGATTATTCATAAAATACTGCTTGCTTCCGATTGAACAAAAATAATAACACACGATAAAAAGCAGACGAAATTGTTTTCTAACGAAGAAATAAGAAGCCACTGCCAAGAATTGGCCTAACCAAAAGTCTACATTCATTCAGAAATGTTCACAGCTACCTGTAGAAGTGCTAAAATTCTAAAAAATCTTAAGAATGAAATCTAATCATTTGTTATCAATTAAAATTAAAATAATCTTGTTATTTAGGTGTTTTATGTTGAAACTGAAAAACTGCTAATAAATTTTTAAATTTGTTAATCAAATTTGGCAAAATTGGACTTTTTGATTAGCAGTGCTGCTAATCATCTGTGAAAAATTACCGACAGCCCTGCATATATACCTTTTTCTAAATTAAAAAACTCATCTCAGCATCCACTAAATCCGAAGAGAAATGTGATCTATGATTGGGGTGCTAGTTTCGTTTTCTCATGTCACATTATTCACCTCAATGTAGGCCCTAGTCAGCCCCTATTCAAAGAAAGTCATAGTTGGTTGAAACTAACTACTTGGTTGTGATCTTACTATGGCAAAACAAAAGGCAACTATTCACTCAGATCGTGCGAAAAACTACCTATTCAGTGGTGTGTATGTAAAAAAAAACTTTTGACAAGAGAGTATGGCAAGAAAAAGGTCACTATTCATTTAAATTGTACAAAAACAGAGGTCTACATGACTACTTGCTAGCGTGTATGTGAAAGAATCTTTGACAACAGTTTGAATTCGATAAAAGAAAAGTTGCCAATCTTCATAAGGGGTACAGTTTCCCTCGTTGAAGAGAGCATTGGGTGGCCAATCTTCATTAGGGGCAAAGTTTCCCTCGTTGGAGTGGCTAAATATGCAAAGAATTCCTATGTGTTGAATATTGTAATGATAAACTCCATTTCTTTCTTTCTTTCTCACCAGGTTTTTGTAGACAAATTACGAGAGTTTGCTTTACAGTTTTCACAGACTCAGAGTAACGTAAGTTAGAATGTTTTAATCAATTATTACAGGCTACAATCAGGACAGCCATTGTTGTCCGTCAATTACTCAACACCTTTTGGGAAAATAAACAGTTGTAAACCCAACACACTCGGTATCTAATCTAGAGAGACCATATTAAACTATGCAGCTGTTGAAACCAAATATATTTTGATGATTCTCAACAAACTGAACAATTTGCCAACAATGTTTTGAAACTAAACATTGAATACAGAAACTCCTGTTAAAACAGCACAACTAAATGATACCCATGTTGCAGTGGCACTCCTTAGTGGTAGTTGTAGTGTTGTTATTTCCTGTATTTGTCGGGTGAACTCAAAAATGCGCATGGGTATAAACCGCTCGACCACCCAAACCCCCAGCAGTAGTTCAAGGTGACGCTGGCTTGTGTTGACTGTAGCCAATAGGTCATCTGTACTGCATGCCGAATGCTGACAAACTTTTAGTTCACCAGGCCTTTACATAATATGAACGGAATTGATACTCCCCTTAGAGATCCAACTTCCACAATATTATTGTTTGCAAGGAATTAAACATCCCACAGATGGCAACCACAGATCTAGGCTGGGTACCATAGCACATGTAAAGGATCCCATAGCTGTCAAAATTTCAACAAAAATTGATAAATTGAATTTAAGACTCCCTTTTTTTTTCTCAGTTATGTTATTTTAACTCCCAGTTATGTCATCATGTTGTCGGTTCAGATTAATTTTGTGGAGTCATGGTTACTCATTGAGTAAGACAGTGGCTCTCTAACCTGGAGGTTCGGTGTTCGATCCTGGTGTTGACTGAAAAAGTTAAGCGGGATGTTCCACCTTGTCAGTAGTGCCAGAGAAAATGTATACCCATGCCAATGGTTAAGAAAAACTGAGGCCCATGTATACATTATCATGCACTTAAGAGTAGGCTGTAGTGCGGCTGTCCAGACAAAATTTCCTTTATGCCTGTCATCATTAGCTCACATGGAGCAGAGCTGTAGGACGTTAAACCCAATTTCATTTCATTTTTGTCTATTTCAGAAACAGCCCTGCTTATCTCCCCTACCATCAGTTCGTTCCCACATCGTATCACCTCGTCGTGTTACAACAAGTTGTCCAGTGTACATATCCCCTCATAAAGCTCAGAATAGAGTCGACTCACCTAAGGGCATGTCGTTCTGTATCAATAAAAGTCCAGCTAATGTAAGTATATTATTTACTCTTTATACACTCGAGGGTTGGGTGGATGGTTAAATGTGTGTGCGTTAGATCATAAGGCCTGTTGTAAGTGCTGTGGTTTCGATTTCCCAGCTGTCCAACCTTGTGGGTTTCCTCCGGGTACTAACACTGTGATCTGGGTATCATAACAACCCAATTGATTATTGATGTTTAATGACTAATTTTTGAACAGTGGTCAAGAAATTAAATACTTGTAAATTAGACACTCATAAGCAAAATTAATCAGTCAGATTTAAACTGGACAAAAGTACAAATTAGAAGATTTGGGGGAGGGGGAGATATTAAATGATTTTTACAAATTTTTAAATAAAGATTTGATATTAAACGAATGTGAAAGAAATTAGTGCTAAATACACAAGATTAAATGATAACCGAGTTACAGTGAAGGGGGATGCTCGATTGTCAGTTTGGATAAAAAATTGCAATTGAATAACCCAGAATTCAGTCATGTCACAGTTTTTTCAGTCCAGACAACTGAGGTGGTGTGAGTGACAATCAAGTGAAATGGGGGATTTGGGACCTTAAAGCATGCACCGGCTGAACAAGAAAATATCCCAACCAACCATGACAGGTGAAAGTTATATATTCGTTGTGATTAATTACGTCACGATTCTATTTCAGGACCTCCGTGCCATTAATAATATGATAAAAATGGGAGAAAAGAAAATAACTGGAAAGAGATTATTGGAGGTGGATCGCGATGACGATTCACTCGATAGTCCGTCGAAACGAATCTGTCAGGGTAATTTTCTACGAAGATTACAAAATGTCAACATGGATCGGAAAGAGGCTAATGGACTCACAAGTTAGAATGCTGATCGAGATGGACTCGAGAGTTTATTGACATCTGATATCAACCAGTGGAATCCTGTGTTACAAAGTTGATTGTCATGTGATATCATCCAATGAACACTTGAGTTAAAAAGATGATTGACATCAGATGTCATCCAGGAAACTTGAGAGTTGATTGACATTTGATATCATTCAGTGGACTCGCGAGCTCGAAAAGAAATTTGATTAACATTTATTATCATCTATTGAAATTGTCCGATTTATTCTCTATACGTGTGTTTGTCATCTGATGGACTTTCTTACCAGCGTAAAACAGATGTTTCGATGAATCGACTAGTTTATTTATTTTATAAAGTGTATTTTATTTGGAGTCTTTAAGTCCCACCAATCAATGAGTCCAGTTAAATTTGAAGTCGTGGATGGACTTCCAAATATGGTAATTGTTAATATCTCATGTTTAAAGGAACTCAGAAAAAAATGAATGGTTGGTTTTATTTTAAGTTCCACCAATCATTGAATCTGTTAGTGTTGAAGTCGTGTATGGACTTCCAAATATGGTAATTGTTTACATGTATATTTCACGGAACTCAGAAAAAATGAAATTGCTAGTTTTATTGAGACTGAACTTGCTAGGTGTATAGAATCGTCAAACTGTTTTATAAGTATACGTATGGGCACAATAAACTAAGGGGTCATTGAATTTAAAAAAATGAACAATTGTTATTCTTTAACGTGTTATTATAAGCCAGGAAATGTTTAAAATCTTTATTTAACATATTACATGCTAGGAAATAGGGGTACCTGTCAGACATATTGGTCAGGTACGTCCAAAATCGTTATTCCTCAGGCCAGTATTATCGATTAGGTATATTCCGGAGCTTTATTCACAAATACTTCAACTAAAATATTTGAGGAATTCATTTCTTTCATTGGTTGATATACATGTGCAGATAGCCAAAATTTGTACTAGGATTTTATCTCTCAACCAATGAAAAAGCTTCCTCGTGAATTACTCCCCAGGTGGTTAATATTGGTCAGGTATATCAACACCTGTATTATTGAACAGGTATATCAATATTTGGAGTATTATTTCAATTTAAGGTCCTATAAAAAAAAATATTCTCATATTCAGATAATCTTGCACCATGAAAAAATGCAGCATGATCTGGGGTTTTTTTTTTTTTGGAAAGAATTGTCTAAGAACCAGAATATTACTTTTGTATGGAATAAATAAAATCCTGAATCAAGTAGACCTATATGTAGAAAGGACTTACTTGAATCGAAAAAAGACCAAAATATATTATTTGTTTGAACTGAGACAAAGAGTGAAATGAAGATGAAAAAATACTAATTCAAATGGCAATAATTTCAGTCAGGATGAATGGATTTGAGTATTTTTTTAACAAAACATTTTTATATATTACATCAATTTGTGTTTTGAGTTGATTTTTAGTAGACTCTTAATTTTTTTTTTTATTGTGATGTACTGCTCCTTTAATGCCAACATGATTGAAACAATCTTTAGTAACCTGTGTACATTATGTTCCAAATACATTAGAAGTTGGGTTGGTCTTGTGGTCTAATTCATATTCTTTTAGATTATAACATCGGTCATGTAACTCGCATGCGCTGAAGTAACCTTGCTACTGAAATTCGAATACAAGTAAAAAGCAAACAATAGGAATAACCGCGCCGTCTCCCATGTACAAATGGAGTTTAATGTCCACTCAACACAAACTAGGTCATTTCAGGTCTAAAATTGTTCAATTTTGTTTCAATTATTCGTAGTGGGAGGAATCCGGAGATGCTGGATAGGCGACCCTATGCCTTGTCACGTACAAATGAGGAATCTAAACCACATGATGACATCACTTGTCTCAGTGATAGACCTTATGATCTAAAGTGCAAGCCTTAGACCAATCAACAACTTAACTCCCCTGATCGTCATAGTGTAAAGATTGGAATTTAATAATAGCATAATGTACAGTGTATTTTAGATCAACTTTTAAAGGGCACTGGTTAGTTTTCTACACCATATTTTTTTTACAGATATTTTAAACGTGTTCGTAAGTTGATCGAACCTGTTTACTTTTTTTTTTATAATGCAACAAATGGTCTTAACTGGGCATTTTCTGTTCTTTTTTTGTATATTCTACAAAACATTTCATAAATTTTTAATAGATTTTGAATGCACCCCTTGGCTAGTTAAAAAGGACACAACATGTTGTATTTGGGTGATGTGGTTAGATTTGATGTGTGTATTTTACAAGATAAATACCTTTCAACATGTCTGGGTGTGACCAACACGTTAAATGCCTGCATGTCGGCAGTTGTTTGGATGCAAGTTTCAATCGAATGTTTGTATTTGATTTGGTATCGGAGTGGCCAAGACATCAAACATGTTAACGTCATCTGTGGTTTGAATACAAGTCTCGATAGAATGCTTGTATTTGGAAACAAGTTAGTTTGACTGAGAAATGCATATATTTAAGTGGCCCCAGCTCCGATGTTAAAATGTAACTATCAACAACAATCAGATCCAATGAAATGTGAAGATGGCTAGTGCACTTTTATTATTTTGTATAAGAATCATTTTATTTGCTAGATTTTTTTATCGATTATCATAAATTTTTGTATTTATTATTAGTCTTTTATGTATATTAACCAAGTGGAATTGTTGTAAGAAAGTGGTTATAAATGGTGCATGCTTGCCGATTTTGTGTTTACATATATATTTGAAAATAGTTTTATGTTGTCATGGAAACATTTTAAGGAGGTGTTATCACTCTAAGCAAGAAAATAAATGTAATAACACCTTGAATTCACCAAGTTATCGAAAAATCTAAGTACTGGCCTAATTTTAGTAACACATATTTTTTTTTAAAAAGTTTGATTGAACTCCCTGAAAACCGCAAAAAAGTTTCGACTCGTGACTTAAAACGTTTGTATTTCTACCATTTTGTATGGATCTTTATAGTCGAATCATGGCAAAGCAAAATTACCAGCCAGCACTAATCCCTCTTATCCACTGAAAGGTTGAAGAAGCTGAAAATTATAAACAATGTTTTTGGACTCCTCTAATTGTCAAATTATCTTTAAGACTCTCCCAATTATCAAAGAAATTCTAGACTCACTGTATTATCTGAAATATATTTAGACTCAAAATCAATTTAATAAAATATTATGAAAAATATATTTTGACTCGCCTTTACTCACCCAATCATCAAAAACATTTTTACATTTCAAAATATCTTCAAACTCTCAAATTATCACAAATCAATAATAACGGATGTACTGTTTAAAAAAAAAATTAAAATGTCTTAGGAGGGGGAGGTGGGGATACCAGGATTGAATCCCGGACCTCCTGCATTGTGAACTAGTACCTTAACCACTGAGCCACTGTGGCTAGAAAACGATGTAAAATTAAACAATTTACTGTTAAATATGCTACTCTTGTCTGGTTTATCAGTCTGTATAAAATATGACATAGTTTATGTATAAAGAAAAAGAGCGTGGTTAAACTTAATGTCCATCAAAACAATCAACTAAAGAAAAAATAACCCTATGTTAGTCTCATAATGACCATTGTATTGTGTGGACGAGACGTTTAACCCCACTCCTATCTTATCTATTACACATAAAAACTATAATTTTAGCTGTGTTTCTCATCTTTTAAGATTAAATACTTTGAAAGTCTAATTTTTTTACCGTGTAGATTCTTTGAAAGTCTTAATTTTTTTACATGTAAATTGTTTAGTAATTGAACTGGAATACACAGATCACCATTTATAGAATACAAGCAATGATTAGAGAAGCTTAGTTGAAACCCCGCTCAGTAACAAACAGTAGTTGTATTCCATAGAATGGTGGCCTGTCCATGTAAATTGTCTGACAGTGAAATTCTCAAGTCGGTCAAATTTCACTGTCATTCCGTCAAGACTGGTGATTATGTTGGAATTAAAAGCCCTGATTGTGACTGTATCAGATCCGTATCCAATAAAATCGTATTATTCTTGGACATTCTAATTCTGAGTCGGCCAATTTTCATGAGAGTCATGCTTACTGTGTGCCATCCATATTGAATAAAACCATAATATGTAAATTGTCAGACAGGAAAGTTCTCCGGTCGGTCAGTTTTTACTGTCATTATGTCTGGTGAATGCAACTGAATTGAGATCCTTGTGATTGTATTAAATCCATATTGAATAAAATCAAATATATTGTGTACATATCAACAGGGACATAGACATGCGTAAATAGTGTAAACTAAAAAAAAACCTGTAAAAATAAAAAAATTAATATAATAAAAACTGAAAAAAGAATAATAAAAATGTATAAATGGAGAAGCAGTTTTTGATGTTTATTAACCACGTTGAATTATCACCCCCGAATATGGAGCAGGACGCTCTACAGACTAAAGTTATTATCTGTTTGACTCTAAATTTATACGCAATACGAAAAGATTTCCGATAATTACTGTCAGAGTTATGGACCTTGATCACTTTGAAAATCTTGTGGCTGCTCTTGTACCAAAATTCAAAGAAATGAGGTTTTACGTCCTACTGTTCTGCTCTGACTGGGCTAATGAAGACAAACATACACCATACAGTGTGCTATGAAGGAGAAGCGGCCCGGACACTCTTATATCGAATTCTAACAAACTGCACGCAGCGATCCATCTACGTCATACTTCGAGATTATGATCACTGCCCTAATTAGCCTCCATTTAAAACGCTCACGTGGTCATTTTGGGGCGGGACTTATCGACTGGACTATTGTTTGTGTACACAACAGAGTAAAAATAACCCGATCAAGCATGTGTTTTATGTAAACACATGTCATTGGCTAAATGTCAACTTCTGCCACTCCGGTAAAAGCGATATATAATATGTGCTAGTGGGTAATATTGCAATACATTCTTTGCCATTGTAAACTGTCTTTAGAGATTCAATATGTTTATCTTTCAAAACAAGGTTAGATACTCCTAAACTTGTCTTCGCAAACAAAACCGCCTCTGTGAAATTATCTTTCATGGGCGCCGCCATATTGAATAATTAGAGGACTAATTTGTGGTTCGGCTTTGATTAGTTTGACATCTTTCATACACTCAGCGGCTAAATAAACATATTTAATTTCAGCGCCACTGTTCTCGCAAAATTGCCCCCATAGTACACTGTATTGCGTATGCCCGTCTTCTTTATCCCAGTCGGGGCAGCCCCAGTTCATTTCATTTTTGTTGTATTAATTGGAATATTGAAGGAGTTCATTTAACTGACAAGAGGCAACATGTTTCTCACTAATGACCGAGCCGCTGTGGCCCAGCGAGTAAGACATTGGCTCGCTAACCTGGAGAGATCACTTGCTCGATCCGAGAAATTTCATCGGGATTTTACAGCGTCATTGGTGTAGGACGGAGGGCCTGGAACGGAAAACCGAGGTCCCGTGTACACATTGGCGTGAACGTAGATAAGCCTCGACAGTTGGAATTCGATATAAGAGTAAGCGAGAGAGAGAAATGGGGTATAACGTCCACTCGACACAAACTAGGTCATTTCGGGACTAACGTATGGTTTAATTTTATTTCAATAATTCGCTTGCGCGTAGGGGTCTTTAGCAGTGGGAGGGAACCGGATGACCCGGAGAAAACCCACGAGGTTGGACAGGCGACCTTACTCCTTGTCACGTACAACCTGGGATTCGAAACCACGCCAGTTGACTCAATGACAGGCCTTATGGTACAGCACGCACGTGCTAACCCTTCGGCCATCCAACCCCCCATAAGAGTGAGCTGTGGTGCCGCTGTCCAGACACTGTATGTCGTATGCTCGTCTTCATTGGCCCAGTCGATGTATAAAAAAAAGGTAGGACGCCTGAAAGATACATGGTCTCTAGCGTCATTTTGGAGTATCTGGGGTACTTGAGGTCACTTTGCTAAAACACAGAAACTAAAATTTAACACAACATGATCATGACGTACCAAATACATGTACTACGTTTTACTGATGTAATAATAATCAGATGTAAACGATTTTGACAGGAAATTTTAAGCAAGCGAGCAAAACAAAGACGAAAGTAAAAGTCTCCGTTTAGTTTCGTTCTACTGTCTCGGACGAGGCCTAGATTACCTGCCGGGACCCGGATACTCTGACGGTGATGACAGCTTTAAACGGATTGAGGACGAGCTGGGGTTCCACAGCGCGAAGGACTGGGCAGATGGCTTAATGTTTTTAATTTACCAATTTTTCAAAAAAAAAGTCGACTACAGAATCCGATTCTAATCCTATCCACGTCACAAGGTATACTTAGATTAATTATGATAGAACATAGTTAAACAGCAGATAAAGGATTAAAGAGGAATTAATGAAAACATAGATGATGGGTGAAACCTACTAGGTGAAGCAAAGAGCTTAATATAAATAGTGAAAAAACACCTTAATAAAACAACCCCAAAAAACAAAATCATACATGTCATATGTAGCTAAATAGAAGACTTATTTGTGTATTGTTATGACGGTGGATTTGAGTCAAAAGTCAGTGCTCTGTTGTTAGCGCTTTTACATCTACAATGTTGCAAATGTTGAATGTAATGTGTAAATTGGAGGACGTTAAATTTAACAAAAAATTGTAATACTGACAAATACATCGTGTAAATTGACATCTACGTTTTGTCATTAAACATTTTACATTAGACATTTCAAAATTTCCACAACACGCCTAACTCCATCTATCTAGATCTTTAAACACTGAACTCTCACATCTTCTCATATGACACGCGCACTATGTATTGTACCGTTCAACATTTCACTTTTACATCGTAACACAGAACTCACGACATGAAATTAGCCAGTATGCAAATAAGTTCAGACGGTACCTATTTTTAATCACGTGACATCTCTCGTGAAGAAAACATAATTTTCAAGGAGGGAATTTCCCCCGGCATGAGACCTGCATCCGGGTGTTGATTTCATGATTTTTTTTTCTACGTTAAGAAAGAAAAGTAAAATATCTAGGCTTCCACATATAACATAAAAGGTTGTTCGTAGAATTCATAGACTTTACTTCGAAGAATTTTACTCTGAAGTCGCCAGGGTTTTGTGTGAACGTGTGCGACAGTCCATGCGCAACGTGGACATAGAAAGTTGCCACATAACCACCAACCTGCCCTTCATGAGAAGTATACATAATACAAAATATAATAGCTCAACAAATAAAAGGAGAAGAATGAACAATGGCCCATGGATGGGTATTATATAATTTATAAACAGGATATCATTATAATGCAAAAGATGACAGCACCAAAAAGAGACAGTCATATAGCTTAGATCTCGCAAAATTAAAAATAGGTACCGTGTGAACTAATTTGCATACTGGCTAATTTCATTACTTGTTCAGTGTTACGATACACAAGACATATGTCGAAGGGTACAATACATAGGGCGAGTGTCAAATGAGAAGATGCCATAGTTCAGTGTTTAAAGTTCTTGGTAGATGGACTTCGGCTTGTTGTGAAATGTTTAATGACAAAAAGTAGATGTCATTTTACACGATGTATTCGTCAGTATTACAGGATTTTTTACTTTTGACTTAATCCAATATACACATTACATTCAACATTTGCAACATTGGACATGTAATAGCACTAACAACATAGCACTGACTTTTGACTCAAATCCCCCGTCATATATTGTGAGATAGTATTACATATTGTACATGATAATTGACGGATCTAGTTACATCGTATACACATAACTGCTTATTTGTGTATTGTGACATGGAATAGTATTACACATTGTACATGAAGATAATAGAGGGATCTATTTACATCGTATATATACACATAACTCCTTATTTGGAAACAAATTTGAAATTATATAAAGCTAAAAGAATGGTATATCTTATGACGTAAAACAGTTCCTGACATTAATTGTTTCTTAAGGGTCATAAATTTTGGCTAGGTAGATACCAACATAAGACCTGCCATTGAGTCAACTGGCGTGGTTTCGAATCCCCGGTTGTACGCGACAAGGGGTAGGGTCGCCTGTCCAACCTCGTGGGTTTTCTCCGGATCCTCCGGTTTTCCCCCACTGCTAAATACCCCTACGCGCAAGTGAATTATTGAAATAAAATTAAACCATATGTTAGTCCCGAAATGACTTAGTTTGTGTCGAGTGGACGTTAAACCCCATTTCTCTCTCTCCCCTCTCTCTCTCTCTCTCTCTCTCTCTCGCTCTCTCTCACCAACATTCAGAGGACTTTTCGTTTCGCCAACATATATCTCTCCACACGAACAATCTGTTTTGTAAACGCAACGTTTTGGTGGAACAGGGAAGGTGGAATTCGGTTTGCCATTGACCCATAGGTGATCTTTAATCGTTTCATTTTTAGTAAATATGGTTTCTATGTTAAGTATGCACAAAATGTTCTTAGGCTTTGTTTCACGATAATCAGGCAATTGGATGTATTATAATCAATCAATTGGCAAAAAATGAAAAAGAAATCACAATTTACTGTTCAATATTAAGAAATGGAGGAGTAAATTATCAAAGTTGGGCTTTTCATCATTGATAGACATGTATACATCCAACATTTTCCCAAAGTTTCAGATTTCTTCGTAGAAGGCTCTTATATATGGTTAGCGTTTGAAAAGTAGTGGTTTTAGCAATTTTCCTGTGTGAGTCGATTTTCAAAGCTAATTTTACAAGAAACTGACAAAGATACCCTTTTTAATAATGTTTGTTCAAAGAATACCCATTGACAATTATAGTGTGATAAGTAACAACTTCTAATATAGTGTAGCAAAATTTTTACACTGTATCGAAATACTGATTTGTTTTGCACAAGTATCAATTTTTGGCACTTAAGTCACTCCACAGAGGGAATAAAATCAGATCACAAAAATCGAGTCATATAACATTAGTTTCAAAGATTGCGAAAGGTTACCCCGATTCAAATGGTCATATCTTTGTCAATATTAATGCTAGAGTCATATAACTGCAGTTTTTTTATACGACTGTGTGTACTATTACATATATTTTGTTCATAATTTTCTGAGGGGTATCACTTTACAGCTTTCTGAGAATTTAGTCAACTTGATATTGAATGACCCTATACCATTAAACCAGATGCTCGTTGTAAAGGTATATTTATTTAGTATATACCACATGGAGATTACATCTAATGCTACCAGATCTCCATACGTTTAAACTGAAATGAAATGAAATAGGGTTTAACGTCCTACTGTTCTGCTCCGAACTAGTTTAATGAAGGCGGGCATACGCCATGAGGACAGCTACTGCGGCCTACTCTTATATCGAATTCCAACTGTCAAGGGACCTTTTACGGGCAG